AGGCTCCTCTTCTTTTGCTTTGTRAATTTTCACTGTGAACTACAAGAAGCAATCCTACATCTTAAATCTGTCCTAAAGATTGATGTTTATCTATGGTCACTGAAGCTCTCTTGAACCAAGCAACTATAACAATTTGCAAGTACATGTATTGATAGAAAAAGCTCTTTTATTCAAAAAACATTGTCTGACATACCAAAAATTCCTGGGCAGGAGAAAMTGTACTTCACTTTGCCTCTTGGCAATAGAGAGTTTTCATCTCCTATTGATAACCTTTAATGTGATACAGCAGATGTCAGTACATTTTGTTAATTATTCTAAGAATTAAAACTTGGTTTTACTGTGTAATGCACATAAGATCTTAATGGTTTATGGTTAGGTAGTTTAATTGGCTCAATTGCTGGGCAGGAGGGGAAGTAAGAGCTGCCTGCAGTTTGCCTGACCCTTTTCTATCAGACTGAAGTATTATTATGTGCTGTACTATATTAAGCTTCATCTGGAAAAAAAGCACAATCTGTTCTTTTTAAGCTTCTTAATAGTTTCTRGTACTGATTCATGGGAAGTGGAACCAACAGATTGTTACAGTTAGACTGTAGGTGGGGACACATATGCTTGAGTTTTGAACAAAATTCCAACTCTGAAGCAGAGTTAAGTCTTTTCCATGATGATGTAATTGTTGGGTTTTTTTAAAAAACATTCAGAGACGTGTGGGAGTAGCTTTTGACCGGGCTTAGGACCAGACATTCTGCAGGATTCAGTCCAGTATTGTAAAAAACTCAGCTGCCAGTTGTTGCCAAGAGGACATATTTACAAAAGTCATCTACTGCTAATAGTTCTGATTACAGCACCAACACAAAGTTTCAAAACGACCACTTAAAAACTGTGATACCTCCTCCAGCAGAACCAGTTGCAGCATAGAGGTGYTGTATTCCAAACATAGGTATAGAGATGGAGTTTGGTGGGATAAGAGGAGCTGAATATAAATTGACCATGCTTGGGCTCCAGCTTTTGCTGTTTGCCAAGTCCTTTCTGCTGCAAGCAAGAGTAAAGCAATGCCTAGCTTCTGTATAACATTTCCTTAGGAATTTTCTTTAATTTAGAAGTGGAAAMAAAATAGCTACATAGATAAATACACAGGATGTAGGCAACTTTCTTCACAGGGGAATCAGAGGAGAATTTTGGTTTGTTTCTGTCTTAGGAGCTCTGAATTAATTTTCACTTAGAAGTGAACTACAAACTGCATAGGATTTGTGCAATTCCTGAAGTCCCTTCCTTCTTCCTGTGTCATAAACCTGGCTGAAGAGTGAGAGCTGCCCCATTGTTGGAAACTTTCTCTTTCAGTGGCCATTTTGTAGTACTACTATGGGTATACCAAAGAATAACATGTCCTCGAGGAGGCCAGTTCCATGGAAAGCAGGGAAATCCTCTTCCTGTGAACCTCRTATCCWCAAGGAAGTGATAAAATTTACCTYGCCTTCTTTCCCACTCCCATTCCTYCATGTGTTTATGCACATACAGGTTTTATTCAGAAAAGAATGAGAGCCCAGAGGAAATTTATCCTAATATGTGGTGCAAAGAAATTTAACAGAAAAGATTTTCTTTTTCCATCAAGGAGTGTTCATTATCCCCACAGCAAAGCTCAAATTAGATATGCATACCTCATCAAACCACTTGCACAACAGGAGAATTCACTATGAATAATTAATTGCACAGAGTTTAATCAGCAAGGCAAGATCACCACTAGTGTATTTGTATGATTGTCTTGAAGCAAAGCTGCATTCTGTTTCCATCAAATCTTCCTTGAGCTCATKTCATAGAGCTGTAGTTTTCCCAGTTGGAGAACTCAGTCACTCTCAGATTTGGACTGCCAGGATGTATTTTCTTCCAAAGGTTAAGAACCTAACATTTTCCTAGGTACCTCTGCTAGTTTAACATGTTTCCTATGATTCTGGATGACACATAACTTTCTGTATGGTTTCATAAAATCTCCCCATCTAGATAAAACCATGGTGCTTGTGCTAAAACAGACATTATTGGATTGGAAAAGAGTTAATGAACTTCATGCACGCTGAAAGACCTACTATTTTTCAGTACTATAATTAAACCTATTCTCAGCTTTATAGCAAACCTCAGGATAACAATTTCTATGCTTATAACACTTTCAAGCAAAGACTGCAGTATTTGGAACATATGAGATATGCAATTCTGTAAGTCACCTAGACCTGGCTRGGAATTTTCCACTGAGAGGTTTTAGACATAGGATGAAATCTTCAGAATTTCAATATCTTTGAGTGTAATTATTTAACCCCAGCCAGCAGAGAAGCACCACACAACCATTTACTGACTCCCCCTCCAGCAGGGATAGAATTGGAAGAATAAATGTTARAGAAATAGTGGTTTAAGATAAAGACAGTTTAATAAGTAAAGTGAAAGCTATGCACACAAGGAAAGCAAAGAAGGAATGAAATMATCGCTGCCCAGACAGGTGTTCAGCCATATCCAGGAGAGCAGGACCCCATCACGTTTAACGATGATTTGGGAAGACCATCGCTTCAAACATCCTCCCTTCCTCCTTCTTTCCCCCACCTTATGCACGGAGTGTGATGCCATATGGTCTGGAATATCCCTTTGGTCAGTTGGGGTCACCTGTCCTTGGGAGCTGTGTCTTCTCCCCACCTCTGAAGCACCCCTAAGTTCCTCGCCAGTGTGGCAGCATGAAAAGCAGAAAAGCAGAAAAAGCCTTGGCTCTGAGTAAACCCTACTCAGCAATAAWAAAAACATCTTTGTATTCCCAACTCTGTCTTCAGCACAAATCCAAAATATAACACTGTACTAACCAGTGAAGAAAATTAACTGCCATAACCAAAACCAACACATTGAAAAACAGTTTTTCATCAAACTTTCATCTTCCATAGCAAATATTGACAATGTTTCCTTGTACTTTTTATTTTCTGTTAGAAAAAGCGAAACAGAACATTTARTGTTGATCCAGAATGACCTAAATGAGAATAATTTTAGACAAATTACTGTGTTTCACATCAGACAGCCTAATTTTATTTTAGAAGGCCTCAGGATCTGCTGRGAGTTAAATATGACTGACACCCATTTTTTCTTCAGGCTGACTTTGGCAGCTATAATACATATTTCATGAGACACCATGGTTTTGATCTTTAGCTGAACTGTTTCARCATCTCATGGGAATCACTTGATGTCCACGTACCACAGGAAACACAGTTTGCCCTAAGGACATGAATCACAGGGATGCACTGGACATCTGATTTACTACTCCCAGGAAGCTCTGYAACAGCTGAATGTAAAAATCCAATGACATTTTGTCCAGGCAGAATTTGCATGGTAATGTAGTTTTCATTAGGCCTAAYCATGAGAAAAGGAAAATGAAAGTCCCTTTAGGTACAAAGACCTGCATTCAGCTTGACATTCTGCTGGGTGCAATTTGGAATTTAGAAGTCTCAAGGTCTCAGTGATTCATTTCTGATGTTAAAGTGAGATGTTATTCCCTGTCTTCGSTTCTTTGCCTTTTTTGGCTACTTGGATGGTAAGACCCTAAAACTGAGGGCTGTTTTTACATCCATGTTCAGTGCTGAGTGTTACAGAGCCTCTGAGCTGTAGCACCAGAGTGACAGGGATTACTCCCCGGGTGGGGAAGCTGAATGTTGGATGATTATAAAGTTCAAAATAGTCGCAAAAAAAAAAAAAAAAAAAAAAAAAAAACAGATGACAGACCAAATCCATGTTTGATTCTTGCTGCTGCACATACATTTTCATTGTCAGTGCTCCTATGTACTTGTAATTCTACTGGTAAGAGAGGGCATTTTTCTTACAGATTATTCCATTTGAAAGCAAAAAAATTTGCGAAAGATCAGCAGTTTCTTGCAAGAGCATCACTTTAGCACTCACAGTTTTATTAATTAATTGACTGACTGTATTTCTGTGGAATATTACTGAGGGGTTAAGACATTATTTTTGAGAAAGATTTCCTGCCTCAGAGGCCTTCTTATTTAAATGAGACATGAAACAGATTTCAACAGCCAGATGGAGGAGCACGGGGAACCAGMCACACAATCTTGGTAAGGATGGCTGTCAGTGGTATCAGTACACTCACTGTTTAAGCACTATGACTTTCATGTAGGCTTGGCAGTGAAGAAAGTTTCTGTGGTGAGACAGAATAAAGAAAAAAAGTATCTATCTGTAAATATCTATTACCAATTTATCCCCATAGAGAAAGAAGAGATTGAAAGAAAACATGAAGTTTTCCTGCAGGTAGAAATTTAATTCAAAACAAACAAACAAAATAAATCAAACCAGACAAACAAACCCAAACAAAATAAAACAAACAAAAAAACCTCATCAACCCAACAAACAAAACAAAACCAGAAAAAAACACCAAAGCACATTCAGTTCATCTGTGCTCTTGTGATTCCTATAATGYTTATCCTCAATTTTGTCATTCATTCTCCAGTAGAAGTTTTTCCTCCAACAAAATAAGCTTTGCCTCTCTCTCTGCTTTTCAGATARTATTAGGAATTAGGTGATATTATTAGGTGAAGAGGAGGTTTTTTGCATATATGTAAAATATCACACCYAAAAGTTTATTCTCAACATCTATATTTTTTAATTTACTGTAATAAATCACAGACCACTTGGCCACATTTAATCAGCTTAAGAGAACCAGAAGAGATTACCATTTGCACACACATTGTTGTATACATTGTGGACTAGATCCTCACAGGTAGTGAGGTAAACAACAGCCTTTGGTTTCAGCAGAGATGAAGACTTCTGAAGAAAAGTGAGTTTTCTAGGAAAATTTTTTTATCTTGTCTTGAAAAATGGGTTAATTAAAAGGTCAAAGTAATATTGTTAAGATTGGTACAGTGATCTTTGTACAGATATGTAACATATTCTTTAAAATATCTGATGTTMTTGAAGGAAGAAAAGCTGCTGCAGATTTTGATACACACATTTGTGTTTGTGTGTGTGTTTAGGAAACTATGGCGAAAGTGGGATGGAAGCTTTCAAAGACATGGCAGCCAAGGAAGGGATCTGCATTGCACACTCCTACAAGATCTACAGCAACGCTGGYGARCAGAGCTTCGACAAACTGCTGAGAAAGCTTCGGAGCCACCTGCCCAAGGCAAGAGTGGTGGCCTGCTTCTGCGAGGGCATGACTGTGAGAGGACTCCTGATGGCCATGAGGCGCCTGGGWCTGGCTGGAGAGTTTCTGCTGCTGGGCAGGTGAGTAACACTGTGCAGTCATAGACAGCCTTGTTAGCCAGCAGGGCAAAAAAGAGTTTGGAGTGATACAAACTCTACACAGACATGCATCATTCTCATGACATGCCAGGCAAACACAAGTCTGCTTGGTCAGTCTGAACAGCATTGAGTAAGGGAAAGGTGGTGCACAAMTCTTTGATCCGTATCAGCCATTGTGTTCCCTGCAGTTTAAAATGCGTCATGTGCATATACAGCCTGAAGCTATGGCTCATTCGAGTAACTCGGTGTTAAGAATTGCTGATGTGGCCTCTGGGTGTACCTGAAATAGAACTTCCCAAAACAAAGTTTGTTAACTATAACCTTTTCTTCCTGAGCCAACGTGTTGATGTGGATACTGTCCTGAGAGAAAAATATAGGTAATCCTTTCTCTTAGCTCAATGATACCAGTTTTACCCACTGAGGGCTTTCAGGACCAAGGACTTCAAGAACTGCTCATTGTGCAGAAGAGTGGAGCAATTCAGATTACCTCTTAAAAGAAAAAGCGAATTCTGGAGAAAACAGGCTTTGAGGCTTCATTTGGGGTTTTTGTTTGTTTTGTTTGGTGCTTTTTGAAAAATACCTTTTTCTAGCTGCAGTGGGAGCTTTCATGAGTAATTATAAGAAAGATGTTATTCAGTATATGACTTCAGTAAATTGAAAGTGATAGCATCTCTTAGAAGCCTAAACTGTAAAGTCTTCCAAATTAAAACAAAACTCCTTAATTCTACCAGACAATTTTGGGTGGATCCATGCCTGTGGCAGCACTACACAATTGAATTGTGAAAAATGTAGCATGAACTGGAAGCATTTAGAAAGAAAGAAAGAAAGAAAAAGAAAAGCGTAGGGATTTTTTTTCCACTCTTTCTGTTCATTAACAGAGATTCCAACATAATGGCTGAGAAGTGGCTACTCAGACATAGGTTATATGTCCCCAGCCAGTAGAGTTATATGCCCCTTAGTCAGTAGAGCAGTGTTTTACATTTCTGCCATGCAGCAAGAATCATGTGTAGGATGTGGGAAGTTGTGGAGTGGCTATGTTCCATAAAAATGTTCATTCTTGCAAAAATGTTCTCCTTCCACTATGGGTAAATCTCTAGGCTTTGAGGCAGGGGCAAAAAAAAAAAAAAAAAAAAAAAAAAAAAAAAAAAAAAAGCAAAAGGAAAAACAGGGAACTTGCAAGAAGTCTTCTTGATGTAGATGGGATGTAAGACAATAACATGATTGTCCAGTGATCGCTTGAGTACCTGTAGTGGTTTAATTCTTATTTTCCAGGATGTTGATGTGCTGTGTGCTCTCTTGGTTGACTGTTTGGCTTTGTTGTCTGGGAGTATYTAACTGTTGGTCCAGAGCCAGGCTTGTTGGATGGTTCTGTAGAGAAGAGTGTAAGGCACTGACCTGGGATGGAAGTGAAACCAGTACAAACCCAGACCTCTTACAAGCACATTATATTGGAGACCTTTTCTCCAATATTTATAGGAGGAAAAGACAGTAGGAAAGATTCTGAGAAGAACAGATGGTTCAGAGTGCTCTAAGGGGAAAGAGATACATCTGAAATTAAAGAAGGCTCATGAAATTAATTTTTCTTGCAAAGTTATGCAGGAAAATGGACTACGATAAGATTTATACTTTCATTCATCATCTGATCCTGGAGTTGTTTTGGGTTTCCCATTCAACTGAGAAGGTTATAAAAGGACAKTCCCAGTGTAGTGAAAGTGCCTGTCACTGGAATGCAATGGGCTTACAAGAACAACTTTTTTGTTCCTCCACAAATGCTTCCCTCTTGTTTTGTTAAGTGGAGAATTATTTTGTTTCCTTTCCAAACGCACAGAAAGAACTGAAGTCTCAAAGCCACACAGCAGCTTTATGGGAAACCACAAGAAATCAACATTTCTGCTTCCTCTTAGCTTTCCTTTTTGTTCCATTTTTTGTATTCAGCCCTGATATTTTTAATCTGAAGCCTTGTATGAATATTGGGATTTTTGGAAACTGRATTTCTCAGAGCATCTGTTTTATACTCAGTTAAAAAGAGAATGGATTGGACAAGGAGAGTGCATATCACATAAATTACCTTATACATCCCCAAAGGGAGGAAAAATATATCTTTCAATAAACACTCAGTTTTGACCTACTTTACAGTTTCTGCAAATGCATTGTCTGCCTGTGGCAGATATAAAAAGGTGGCATATTAGTGATTGTAGCATTCCAGAGCTTTTTGATGTGTGGAAAATATTTTAAATGCTCAGCAAATATTTACCTCATGCATCTTGAGGAATTACACATAACCTCTGATATAAAGGTGAGTGTGCTGACTTTCAAATGTGAAAAAAAGTTATTTTAACTTAACCATTTTTCATCTTAATTGACATATGGACACCWGGCTTCACCTGTTTGTCCTCACTGCTTCTGTCATCCACAGATCATATGCCAAGAGATACCCTTACAGATAAATTCATTTAAATAACAGAAAAACTCTGAAACAGATTTCAGAAGGAACTATGGAGAATTAATTGTATATGGAGAATATAATTGTATAAATTGTATTTATATTTACATATAAATGTAAAATCAGCTTGATTGCAAATGATTTTCAGCTGTTCCTCATTTTATGTAATATTTAGACCCAAAAGTTGAAATGTTCTTTCGTGTTGTGTGCTCATGTTCACCCTGCTCCTCTTGGCTCCTAGTTTCTGATCGTTGGACAAAATTCTCTGCAATGATAATTTTGTTTGATGCCTTTTATCTGCCGGGATTCCAAAACATGTCTCAGAATGACTAAGTAATTTAGTGCTAGGTAGTATTACTTTTCATAATAAAATAGAAACCATTAGCTGCAACAGAAATTACGAGTATTGAATATTACTTCCTAAATAAAACAGGTTCAGAAAACACTACCACAGCTCTGAATAATTATACTGTTTGTTTGCTCGTTGGAATTATTTTATCTTATATCATCTAATACTTTTGAGCTGGAACTTGGCAYGGTGTTGGTGACAGCAGTTGGGGGTTGTCACCAAGAAGCAGTCAGGACACATATACTCTGTTTTGGGGTAGAAGAACATTAAGGTTCACAATTGCAGTCATTATGTGCCTTTTACCTCTAGACAAGAAATCTTCCCCTGGCTGATTTTTTTATCATTACAAAACAATTATTGTACAAACTTAAAGAGTAAAACACAGAATTTTTGCAAAGGAAGTTCCAAGTGTAATCCAGTAAGATTTTTCTTACCTAAAGGAGAGGAGAAGARAAAGGACAAGGGCGTTGGAATGGTCAGGGATTGAAGCAAGCTGCCCAGGAAAGCGGTGAAATTATGGTCTCTGGAAATGTCCAAAATGTGTATTCATGTGGCACTTGGGGATATGGTTTAATGATGAGCTTGAAGGTCTTTTTCAACCTTAATGATTCTATAATTCTAAAGAGAAAGTAGAGGTATAGAGAGATGAAAATGKCTTGCTCAACGTATCCAGGTTCCAAATGAGATTCCATAGGCAGAACTCATCTTCAGGAAATGACTGAAACTTCCATTTGCTTCTTATGTTCATGTATGCATATGGTGTGCCAGATTTACTACTGTATTCACTATTGTATATGATTAAAAAAAAAGTGTTAATTAAGATTATCTAGACTTTCTGTTGCATTAAATGACAAAATGGATTAAAAAAATTATCAGAGATGGAAATATGTCCTTAGGTTCTAGTGCTTACTCTGATTTTCAGCTGTCAGCCAAAGAAACATGGTCAAAATTCCAGTCTGATTTAATTTCTACACAGCTCTTAGATACTTATCTCAGTCAAAGGTTTACAGAAATAATATAAAACCGTGACTTGGCTGCAATATCTATAGCAAAAGAATGGGAAATCCAGAGCTGCAGGGCATCCCACAGAGTTTCCATCTTCTTTGAAGTACAGACAGGATTTGATGACTATGTGCTGTAATGTCCTTGCAAAGATGTAGAACCACATCCTGCATTTTCAGGATTCACTCTGTTCTGGGACATGTGAAAGTCTGCACCTTGGGGTGCCTCAGGCTGTGCTTCTGAAGCATGCCTTGGCTGCAGAACATGTCCAGACGAAGGTGGGGAAGGGCAGGACACCACTTGTAGCAGCGTGATGATCACAAGTGAGGCTCTCAGGAGGGCAGAAGGACCACTGAAGCAGTGCTCATTCTCAGACATTCTCTRTCACAAATCACATCTACTAATAAGATATCTGCTCAGCTCCTGAGGAGATGGGTTGGAGGAAATTGTTATTGATTCTAAGAGATGTTGCAGCAAATGAGATAAGTAGAGGGTAAGTAGTAGAGATGAGGATAAGGAGGGAGAATAAAATGTGGAGAAGCATTGGTTCCAGAAAGTCCCCAAAGTAATTTGGCTGATAGGAAACTCAGCAATATATATGAAGAAAATCTGGTTAACAACCAAAAAGGGCAACTATACCTGAAGGAAAATGAAAGCAAGATGATCTGAGGGAAATGAGATCTTTTCAATTGTTTAAAAAGAAGTCTTTTGTGAGATTTTATAAAGTGTCTGTTGGATGAAGAAAGATCTCACTGCAGAGGAAGTAGTGATTTCCTTCCTGAAAGTATGCAGTGTGGTGTGTGTTAACATACCTTCTTCTATCTTTGTACAAGTCCTACTGATGAAGAAKTTGTTGCATAATCAATTAGGATATGAAATTTTGCCGACCTGAAATATGCTTTAAATTCATTTTTGGTTATTTCTGCTGCTTTGGGGAAGTATTAATCAGACCAAAATCTTCTCTCTAGAATAGTTCTTCCTGCATAACCTTTGACAAAACTKTGGAAGATACATGTAATATAAATGTGCAGATCTCTCCTCCAGGGACAAAATAAGCAGGTGAAAAGGTACTTTCAGAGTACAATTGTCCAACCCCAGCCTGCATGAACACTCTGATCCCTTTTCTTCAATTCACAATAGCAGGAGTTTGGTGCAGCCTCACCTGAATGTTGTTTACTCTAAGAAAAC